TGAGAACAGGGTCAAGACAAAGATTTAAGCTGGTTCTAAACCTGGGTCAGAAGTGCAAAGAAGGATATGGTGAGATAGCACGGATCAGTTGATCATGAGCCAAGGTAGGTGTGGGAAAAATGTAGCCATGTTTACCCTAGAATTTCTCCTGTGATAGCAAAGACCCTCCTAGGGCCTAAACTGGCAAGTGCACAGAGCAGCCTCTTCTGCCCAGCCTCTGCTTGCCGTTTTGAAACCTATAGGTAGGACTGCACATCCCAGGTCTTAAAAAGCAGTCACAGGTCAGGAGTGATTAAAAAAGTGTGTTTTCCTTGAAAGTGCTATTTTAGGTTGAAACAAATCTTGATCGTGTCCAAAGTGCCGATACCCTGTCCTTCCTAGAATAGCCACTTGGAGCTGGTTTCCTCCGGGAGATGGGTGAGCCAGATTTAAGCACCTCTTTGACAGTCTGTTTTCTTCCTTGTGAGTGTGCTAACCCACCAAGGCTTCTGTCCGTTTCCTGCCTGCTGGGGCTTTTCTACTTTTTATGAGTAACTAAAAACATTTTCAGTGCTATATCTCTTGGTAGGTGTGCTCACTGGGGATGTGGTAAAACCCAGGATCAAATATCTTTTAATCTGAACTGTCAATGCAGAAGTGACAAAGTTCTGTCTCTCCTCCTCTGTCCCACCTGCTATGGCAGAATAATCCACTTCGACTGCTGATCCTAATGAGTAACAGACTTTCTGAAGTCTTGTATTTCTATGCAATAGGAAGGGTTATCTGTATTCACAGCAGAGCTAGTGTAGGATTGGATTTTCAGCTCCTTTTCATTGTATTTCTTCTTTGCCTGTTTTTTGCTTCTCGCGCTTGTTAGCTTGCATTGATTGGTAAGTGGTAAAGGAGAAAAACACACGGTCCCAGAAAACAAAAACAAAGCAAGAAATAAAGAAAAGGCGAGACAGTGTTTTTCATTTCATTACTGTGCTTCTTCACAGCCCCCATTCTGACATTTAGAACAACATAATATGCATGTCTCTGTTCATTAGGTTCCTCAGTACTACACAGTGACAGCCACAGAGGGCGGGGGGAAAAAAGGAAAAGAAACAATCTTAAACATGAACTAACCTTTGCAGGCTAAATAACAAAGAAATGAGAACAGCAAAGGGGAAAAATGTTTTCTGAAAAAGTAAATATATCCAAACCCATGGCCTTATGTAGGTTATTCAAGTATCATTACGAAGGGGAAAAGAGAATACTGACCTCTACGTCAGAAATAACTTATTTTCTGCCCAGTGATTTGTTTGTTCTGTACATATATGTTTGAGCAGATCTATTACTGGTATTTGAACAATAGTAAACGACATAAGGAGACTGCTGAAACTAAGGATAATCTTTAAGACATTCGGGCATTGATACAGATTCTCAAAAATTAAAAAGCTTCTAATAGAAAAGCTCTTAAGCGTTCTCAAAATAGGGTATCTGCACTAAGTGGAGCTATCTAAATGGATGCATATGTTCACCACAGCATGGTGTCAAATACATATATTAGCTTGGAAATGTTAAATGCTAAGATTTTATCCTAAATTTACTAAGAAGTTAGGATATAGCAATACTACTTAGGATTTTTGATGTAGTTAATCAAAAATTAAGATGCATATTTGGGTGGGTCCAAGGATGCCTCTGCAGAAGGACTGTTAGAGCTGTATCAAAAATAATTATGATGGAATGCAGCTGGCTTCCTACTCCAATTCCAAGAAAGCTGCAGAACTTTAGAATGTGTGGATTTTACTCAAATTTCTGGAGGAAGAAAAAAGAACAAAAGAGACATTTCAACTGTCTCTCAACTCTCTCAAATCAAGAGATTTTGATTTTGATTTATTTTGATTTCTCATACTGGCACTTTTAATTTTTTGTAATTTCATATTCTTTTTGGGATGTCAATTGCAATTTTTTTTTTCCCCCTTAAGTGACGAGGTTAAAATTCTCAATGGAGTTTTTTTTTTGTGGTTGTTTTGAGATTTGTAATTTTTTCTCAGTTGGGAAAAAAATAACAATCTGAGTATTTTATGAAAAATAATTCTCAGTCTATTTTTCATCAGTAATTACACACTGCTAATTTTAGTATTCCATAAAATAAAATTAACCTGATTCTAATTGCTGTACTTTACAGACGGGGGAGGTGTTTCTTGATTCTTGTATGGTCTTCCCCAAGATTACATCAGCCAGTGGCAAAGATAGAGAAAATCATTCTGTTTTTCCTGTTTATTCTTCCCAATGTCTACACCCGTTATCTCCAGGTCTGTTTCTAAAGGTACCAGATGTCAAAATATTAATTAGGGGAAACATTCATTAGTCATTTGCATCTCTGGTACCTCTGGCAAGCAGAGCAGGAGAGGGTCAAGAGAAGAAAACAAGACTTGGAAAGACATATAAGCAACTGTAGAGCTGCTTTGCAGGTCCAAGGGAGGCTCAAAGCTGAGGGTATGTACAGCTCCCACATGGTGTCTCCAAGCAGGCTGGCACTGCACATCATGGAGTTCACTGCTACCTTTCACTGGGAGAGTTGTTATTCAGAAAGGTTTTATGCACATCCCCCATCCCCTTCGTTTGTCCCCCCCTTGATTTTTATTTGTTTGCCAAGTAGGGGATTTACAGACCCGTTCAGAGCGTGTGTGAGGGATGGCAGCAGCACGGTTCTGTATCTGGAGCAGACAGCTGCCCTGCTGTCATTGATAAGCATTCCTCGGAGGGTGGAGATTGAGATTTAGCACTTACGAAGCGCTAATTGGTGTGAGTCTTGATGAACCATATGTGCCCTCCACAGCTTGGCCATCTGATGCCTCGGCAGGCGACTGGCGCTTCACACCTTGGCTGCCTCTTCAAAGAGGGACCTGCCAGGCAAGGGGAAAACACCTCCTGGACAGCAGTGGGGTTTTGGGGGAGCAGAGGGGATGTCCATGTCAGGGTGCCCGGGGGAGCAGAGGGGATCATGGCTGTTGTGTAGATTTCCCCATGAGCTGCACATGAAATGTGTTCATGCAGATAGGAAGTGCTTTGGGCAACCTTTCTTTGTGCTATGAGAGATCTAAGAGTTGTGCTGTAGAAAGAGATATCTGTCAAATGTGTGTCCTCTGCTGTTGGTGGAGGGGCTCAGAGACATAAGTACACGACCTATGAGATCTAACAATATGGCTGGTTTATTAGGAGAGCTCAGACTTTTTATAGTATCCCTACACAGAGTCTCGTGACAAGAAGCACATAATTGAATACAAGTTACTGCCCAAATGTAAACATACATTACAAATACATTTATAATTGGTTATTAACAGGTAACAAGACAATTATTTACTTTATCAAACTCCACCTTCTTCTTGGCACAGATATCCTTTTGTTCTAGCAAAGAGACCCGCAGCCATCTTGGCACTTATAACTTATAGTACCTATAAAACTATATAAAGGCTTGTAAAAGTTTATAAAACTACAGCACACAATATAAATTGCTCACTCATTCATCATGTTCCTCCCACACTCTGCCCCCTATACCTTCCTCTGTAGCACTGTGTGCTCACTTATGCCCTCAGCTCCCACATCAGCATTTTCTGCCATCTCACATGCTGAGCATATTGGAAAGAGACAATTCCCACTGTAGCTGTTTCAGGGCTATCGGTGTGTAAGATGTAGAAGGGTTTTTGGCTTTGGAAGAGGCAGTGGTGAGGTATGTTCCTGCCCTGGTGCAAGCAGCTGTGTGGTGATTCCTCTGCCATGCTGGTGCTGGCTGATAGGCAGCACTGGGCTGATAGGCACTGAATTTCCTACAGTCCTTTGCTGCTCTGCCAAACATGTTGAAGTTGGCAATTTTACCAAGGGGAGCAGAGGGACGTGTATCTGTGTGCCTCATTTCTTAGGAACACAGGCTGAAAATAATAAGAAATATATAGATCAGAGGTTTTGTCAGATAAGTGTTGGGACTCTAATTTACTGCAGTTTTAATGGGATATGGAAGAGGATAAGATATACAGCGATCTCGCAGGGAGACATGCAAAATAAATTAGAAGCAATAGTATTGGTCTGGTAGTTTGTCCCAAATGTAGGTCTTCTTAAAGGAGCCCAACATCTTGAAAGTCAGAAATTATTTTTTGAAGACATTAACAGAAGAGCGGGCTGAAATGTTTTGTGTCAAAATTCTTTTTGCTAAAGTTGCTATCCTCCCCCTAGTAAGATAACTTTATTCTAGAAGTTCCTGTTTTGGCAGGAGGGAAAGGCTGTTTGTCAAAAGAGCTAATAAAAGTCCTAAACTTGGAAATACTTCCATTCTGAATAAATCTAAAACTTTTCACTGAAGTCATAGAAACATTGGTTGTTAGAGGTATTTGGAGGTCCTCAGTTCAACCTCTTACTTCAGGCATGGTTATCACCAGCTGCAAATCAGGTCAGCCATGACTTTGTCTAGCCAGGTCTTAAGAAACAACAGGGCTTTACACATGTTCTAGATAGTCAACAATGTTGAACTGTTTTCCTTATTGCGATTTTTCGTGATGTCCAGTCTGAGTCTCCCAAGTCAAAACTGGTGATCATTTGTTTGTGTCGTGTCATCTGCTACAGCTGGTGTTGGACTGGAGGCAGGCCAGTGGGTTATCTGTTCGCCACAGCTCTGAAAATAGTCAGCAGCTTCAGTGCCTGTGAAACAGAGAAGAAAATATTCAGTATTTCTCCTGCATACAAGATCTCATCTTTTAGCCTGAAACTTCAGTATCTCAGCTCCTTCCCACTGCCTCCTGGGGCTGAGGGAAGAACCTGTTGGTGATAACATGCAGAGGAGGTGAATGAGAAAAGGTCCAACTGGCTAAATGTACACCTCTGCAAATTCTTCCCATGTCAGTTTAGGCAAATGCTTTTAACAATTCATTCCATTACGTTAAGCACCCATTAAAAGAATTCTAAGCCCTCCCCAGGGTTATTTCAGTTCTGTGAGATTGTAATTGTTTGAGACTAATCATGATTTCTTCTTTTGCCTTCAGGTGATTCTAATTCTGACAAAGCTGTATGACTACAACCTGGGAAGCATCACAGAGAGCTCTCTTTGGAGGTATGGAGATAAATTGAGTTAATAATTATCACCTTACTTAAATAGGAAAAGCCTGATGCAATTCTTTTATTAAATTTAATTGGATTTCTTTAAACGTGCTGGAAGGTTTGTAGCTAAACCCTTTCTCACTTTTTTCATACTCAAGGACAAAGAGGCTGAAGTCTGATTGTCTTGTTTCAGCTAGATAAGGTACTTCATGGATATGTTCTCATTTGATTTCCCCTTCCCTGTCTTATTCAGATTGAAATCAGGCAATTGGTTTATTTTTAGGAGAATTCAACAGCCTGAAATTCTTGAGTTCTTGTTTATAATGAAGGATCTCATGGCTGTCTGCCCAAATGATCGTTATGAAAAGCCAGTGCTGCTAAGATTGGGGGAATACCTATGAGTGAGTATTCAATGTCTGTTGATTAGAACTGATGGTATAGTATTAGATAATTGATTTCCACTTGACTGCCAGATTGATTTATAGGGAATGTTTCAATACTTTCTTGATTTCAAAGCATATCATGCACTCTGTGAACCAAAGGAAGGAACTAGGCTGTGGACAATTTCTTAAGGCTGTTATTTGGATTCAGTGCAAGCAGATGGTGCCTCTTTTTACTTCTCTGAAGAAGGAATCTTAGAAGTGTTTACTTCACCTCTCCCTCCGGCTACTTTTATGATCTGTAATGGATGAAGGGGATGTTTTGTCGTGGTTTCATCTGTGAAACTTTGGTGTGGAGTTTAGGGGTTTTGTATGCAGGTCACTGATGGAGGTGACTAGGCTACTGTCATAGTAGAAGAAAACTTCAGGTATTTGAAACTGAAACTTACGGTTAGAATGACCTTGTTTTGATAAGCTTGTATGGGAAAGGGTTTTTTTCACCAGAGAAGATTTTTGGTGCAGAAGTAGAACAAATAACCTTTTTGTTCAAGGAACTGAGCCGTTTTTAAGAGAACGACAGAGCAGGGATTTGACATAAAGTATATCCTGAACTCAGGCTATTGCTTTGCCCACTGGCCTGAAGGAATGAAACAAAACCAAACAAAGAGAAAAAAAAACCCAAGACAGAAAAACTAAACCCTAAAGAAACTCAGAACTCCTAAGATTTGTTCTGAACAGCAACAGGAACACTCAAAAAACTAGTATTTTTCAGGGTTGAATAAATATTTTTTCATTCATTCGTATACCTTGCTGCTATGACTCTCTACTTCCTTGTCTTTACTCTGATGTGTGCACACATAAAGGGTCTTCCAGGAATGTGGCTTTTGCAATGTTTTTATAAAGGGAGTTTTGCTAGATTGTTTTATTTCTCAGTAGTTTTAAAAAAGAATATTCATAAATGTGAAAAACACTATTTCTGTTTCCTTTTACTAGCGTCAGTCATTTCACCCTGAGAAATACTCATCCCTGTTTCATTAGTTGTTGAGAAAGTTAGAGCCTTTCAGCATGTGAAGACATCTCCTTCCCCATTGCTGATAGTGCTGAAGATCTGCTTGTGATTGTGCAGGATTGTGTTAAGATATGGTTTTCTGACTGATATGTAGCCATGGAAAACCTGCTTCTTGTTGACCTTACACTGTTGCTTGTTTCAGAATTAGTTTCTGTGGAACATTCCACAGAAATGGCATACAATTTTGCCCCGATTAGAAGAGAAGGGACTGTGGGGTTGTCACTGGAGGATGTAGCAGATAGCTGGGGCCTTAGCAGTGTAGCAGTGCTACAGCTAGTGAGTGCAGTGCACCTTTCCTGAGCTCAGACAGTCCTAATGTCAGAACGTGATTAACAACATAAAATAGCCTGATTGTTTCCTGTAGCTTGGTATCCTATTACCAAAAACCTGCCTAAGAAAGACTGTATGAAAATGATCATCATATCTGACACTTCCTCCTAGTATTCATTCTCAGGCTTTAAGTTTGAGGTCCTTCTTCAATCTTATGTGTAAGATGTATCAAGATGGGAATAGTTTTTTATATATATATATATATATATTAATATATATTGTGGGATTAATATTCCATGAGCTAACTTTCTCAGTATCTTTCAGAGTGTGTTAAAATTTTTAGTACCTGTAAGCAAGAGCAAAGAATTCCATAAATTCTTGGAGCAAGGAATTCCATAAATTGTTTGAGGGACCACTTGTCTTACTTTGAACCCATCAAACTTCACGTGGCATATGTCACTTGTCAAGACTTGACTGCCATTGTATGGCCAACTATCCAGAATCCCTGGGTGATTGTTTTGGACTGGGAATTGTTGAAGAAGAACCAGAATAAACCCAGTTGTCTTTGCAGTGCTCCATTACTCCTGATTGGCTCTTCAGTGCTCATGGCTGCTCTGGAAGCTGTCAGTGCACCTCCTTGTATTTTCCTCAGTCTTGTTGCTTTACATAAGCCTTAGGTGGTCACACTGTGCTCTGTCCTGAGCTTGGCTCTGCTGTTACATCCCCACTCGCTGTGCAGGCATGCCTTCAGGTCACTAATAAATATGCCTATGAAGATCCCAAGACAGCTTCTCTGCTCTTAGTGTGATAAATAGAAATAGTGAGATGGGCATATCTTATTATTTAATGTACCTGGCAGAGGTTATTAACTGTTGCTCCTCCTGGCTCCTTATGTGACATGTTAATTTAAATCTCCCTGCTTGTTTGAAAAGGGTAGGAAAAAATAGGTTTGAGAGAAGGGGTGAAACATATCTTGCAATTTATTTCATGCCTCTAAGTTTGATTCTGGGGAATGGAAGAAAACATGATCTTATGTCTGGTTTGCTTTCTGGAGTTCTGTTTCTGAAGGCTAGAGGAGAAAGGTATTTCTGCAGGTACTCACAACTGAAGTGGAATCTGTCTTGAATACATGACAAAGAAATACCACTCTTCCCTCCCGTGCTGAGTGCATTCTCAAAAGGCTGATGAATGATGAGAGGCTGTTTGGAAGCATGTCATGGACATGAGTCATTATGTGATAGCTGGTTATAAGCACATCTGTCATTTGAAAGTGTAGTTGGGTGATTTGAGCAGTTTTATGACTGATGGAACTGTAACCACCTATAACCCAACTATGCCATTGCCTACAGTATATGAATCTGTCGTCTTTATAAACACACTACTACCTGCTAGGATGACATTTCTTTGTAATTTTTCAGCCAGTTTAACTACTGGAGTTACAACTGCAGTTGGTTGCAACGCTAACGGGTGGAGATCATCCCTCTAAAACTACTGATGAATTAAAAGACCACTGGTGACAGACATGAAGAGACGAAATACAGTAAAGAAAAGAGATGGAGAGAATCTGTATTATCTACTAGAGTGTTAAGGCTTTGTGCAAAGTGAGATTTGGATGGCAAGTGAGCTGCTGCCACTGTACATGGTAAATGAAATTTTGCATCAGGCTGTGCCTGACTTTAATTATGTCATTATCCTCTCAGCAGATTTTTTCCACAGTTTTAGTTGAGGAATTTTTATTTACTTTTTGCTATTCTTTTTATAGAAGAGGATGAAAATGGAGGAAAAAGATTATCTGTCACTGAGCAATTAACTGAGTGTATTGGATTCATTTCTCTTCCTCTCATAGATATCTCTCAGATCACAAAGAGGATTAAGCTGTGAGGGTTAGGAGAAGATATTTTTTACCACTGGAGTAAGATAAGATTACATTTCAAATAAATAAAAATGTCAGAATAGTGTATATGGTATCCATGAGCTGTTGACAGCTGTGGGGAGGACTAATCTTTTTCTATTTGTGTAAATATGATACTCTGGAAAGGTGTTCATACAGGACACTTTTAGGACCTTGAGAGGCTGACAGAGCATTAGTACTGCCATTCACCTCTTTGCCTTCTTATTGCTCTTTTTTTGGGGCAGTAATGAGTAATTTCAGGGAACTTCACATAAAAATAACAGTGATTAAACTTCTGTATTCAGCCAGAAAGTAGGAATATGTAGAGTTTGCTCAGGGTGAGAACATTCTAAAATGTGATCTGTTGCTGTGTTAGTGCTGGAAGTTATTGGTGATACTCTTGACACTCCAATACTATGCCTGAACTCTGAGCTCCCCTGATCAGGAGAGCTTATTCCTTCCAACCTGTCCTTCACCGCTCCTGGTTTTTGCAGTAAGGAAGCTTCAGCACATATGCCATGAAGAAGGCATGCTGAAAAATACTTATGCCTTCTATAGATCTAGATTTTATTTTCCCTATATAAAGCAGGGGTTGTTAAGAGTTACTATTTTTTTTTTTCCTTCTTGGAAAGCTAAGAATGGATCTGTTTCTAGCTTTCACATGGCCTTTTTGTTTAACCTGGAACTACTGCCCATCAGTAACCTTTGTTTATTCCATGGGATAACAAGGAAATAAAGAATTCACTGGCCTTATAGATAATGGGCTCAGGTAGACCAAAGTACTTGGTACTAAGGTCTAAATACCATTGTGTTGTGTCTATATGTTGGGTAGTCCCTTAATCATAATTGTTTATGGGAGTGTGTTGGTGAAAACACTTATTGTTGAAGATGGGCTGGCATTAGTATGTTAGATAACGAAAAGGAGCAGTGCAGAAACTGGAATGTGTTCTTTCCTCTTGCAGTTGCTCTAGGGATAGAAGCCTCAGGGAGAGAGGTAGATGTAGACTGAGGATCATATCTGAACAGAAATTTGCAATGCGGTAGGACAAGGGGGAATGACTTTAAAGTGAAAGGGAGTAAATTTAGGTTAGATATTGGGAAGAAATTCTTTACTCTGAACAGGTTGCCCATGGAAGTTGTGGATGTCCCATCCCTGGGAGTATTCAAGGCTGGGTTGGATGGGTCTTTGAGCAATCTGGTTTAGTGGGTGGGCAGGAAGGTTGGAACTGTATGATTTTTAAGGTCCCTTGAACCCAAACCATTCTATGATATTAGCCAGATGATCTCTGTTAGACATCTTTCTCTCCCTTAAATGCCATTGCTGGAAAGTTCTTGGCTGTGAGTTGACCCCAACCATGTGGTTATAAATACTGTAGGTGCTTTGAAGCCTCCCATACTGATGT